GAAGGAAGCGCTTCAAAGCGCTTGCAGGTGATGCGAGCTGAGCTGTGGTCAAAGCTTTTAGAGGCTCCAAGCTATTAGAGGCGCTTGGCTCTTTGGCAGGGAGGTTTTCCGAGAAAGCCAGACTACAGGGTCCTGGTGATGACCCCTGACCTCGGCGCAGCTGGGTTCACGGCAGGTGGGGCTCTCCCCAGGGGCTCTGCTCCCCACTCCACCTCCAGCTCCCCACCTAGTTCCTTGGAACCCCAGCCTGAGCCTTGGGTGGGGTCCCCGACCACCTCTTCCTCTAGTTCTTTGGTCACTCCCACCCCCCGGGGCCCTTGGAGGCCACCTGGATTAGCCTTCCCAGCCACCCCCACCAGGCTGATGTTCTCACCCCACATTCCCAGGCACAGCTGTGTGTCCACGGGAGCAGGGACTTGGACCGGTCACTTCTGATGCCTAGAACGGTGCTCAGTCAATATTTGTGGACTCGTTGGGGGCAGCCACTCGGGTTCACAGAGGTGAAGCGACCTGCCAAGGACACGCCATTTGGGAATGTGGGAAAGACACAGGGGTGACCCTAGGAGCAGTCTTCCCGAAGCCCCGAGTACACGCCCAGGGCTGCCCTTGGGTGGAGCGCCTGGAGGTAGTGCCACCACCGCCAGGATGCGGGTCTCAGCATGAAGGCTCTGCAAAAAACAAACAAAAAAGACCTTTCCTGTGGCATTTCCTCCCCTGCGTCCTCCTCCCCCAAGCCCCCCAGACCCGACAGGTGGAGGGATGACTGGCAGCCCCAAGCCAGGGGCTGAGTCCCCATCCCTGAGCCGCAAATGCCTGAAACATGCCGGCCCACCGACAAGCTGCTCCAGGACCCAGCGTCCAAAAGGCACCCGAGAGCAAATAAACAACGTTGTGTTTCTTTCCCATTTCCTGACCTTTTGGGGAAAATAACCTAAAGTGACCAGGCCCGGCGTCACTCCGTCCGCTGAGTGGACAGAGTACGTAGGAACCACACGAGGGAGACCCCCGCCTCTGCGACTGGGAACACAGACCAGATAACGTCACCTTCCCAGAGCACCAGGTCAGGGGAGGGGACCCCGTGGGCCTGGCTCCGCAGGGCCTCCCGGGAGGATGAGCGCCTGGCAGGCTCTTCCCTGCCCTGGGCCTGCCAGTCGGCCGCCATCTGCCTTCCAGGGTACCTTGAACCTGGAGCACACGGAGGCCCCCTCCTGGCTCAGGAGGCAGCTGTTAGCCGGGGTGTCCAGTGGCCACAGGACCCTAACAAAATGGAGTGGCCTGGACCCCTGGCTGAAGGAAGACACCCTGACCCCCTTCCCTTGATGACTACTCCAGCCTCTCCCCATCTCCTCTTCTGTCTCCTCCATTTCCAGCCCACAGACCCGGCGACCCTCTGGTTTTGCACACTGAGGCCCAGAGAAGGAAAGCAACTTGCTTCAGGTCACACAGCAAGCGAGTGGCCAAGGCAGAGCAAGAATCCCTCCCAGAGCCCCTCTCCTCCTCCTCCTCTTCCTCCTCTCCTGCGGCAAAGATCTCCCAGTTCTTTCAGGGGCAGACACCCCCCCCTCCAAAGGACTTAACGGGGGGCTCTCTGCCCTGGCGCTAGAGGAGGGGTGCCGCCTGGTTCCGGGATTTGCTGAGAAGCATCCTGCAGGGCGTGGGGACAGTTCCCGGTGGCTTCAGCAGGTACCAAAGCCTCCGTGGCTTTAAGAGGACAGCTGGGGTCCCCTGGCCCCTGGACGGGGGGAGCTCGCCACTCCCCGCCCTGTGCCCTCGCTGCCTTGGACTCTGTAAGAACCCAGCCCCTCTCCCGCGGCGCCGTTCGGGGGCGGGCTTCCCGCGGAGGGAGAGCCAGGAATGGGAGATGGGAGGCTGCTCTGGGGGCTGGAGGAGGGGGCCCAGCCGGGAGCGGGTGGAACGCGAGCCGCTGTGGTCCGAGCAGCAGGGTGCTTGGGAGGGGGCGCCGCGGCGGACAGGCCGAGGGAGGGACGGAGGGAGAGCCCAGGGCCACCGGGGACTCTAAGCGGAGACAAGTCTGCAGGGTGCGGGCCGGCGTGCACGCGAGTGGACCGGGAACACCGGGAAGACCGAGGCCGCCGGCGGGAGAGCCGGTCCGGGGCGCACCTTTCCGGGCCGCGTCCCGCTCACTCCGTGCGGCGGCGCCGGCGTCGCTCCCAGGCCGCCCTGTGCCGGGAAGA